ATCTGCAGCAAGTGACATCAATTAGCCGACCGCCAAGTATTTGATCAACTCAATGGCAAGTGACACTATGAGCCGATCGCCAAACATTTGTGAAAATTTATCAAATCAATGGCAAGTGGCATCAATTAGCCAACCGCTTAGCACTTAGGAAATTTTACAAAGAGGGAAGGTAAAAGAGGCAGGTGGTAACACAAACCGATCATCTACAACTTGTTAAAATTTTCATTCTATAGAAATTTTTTTTTTATAAAGAAAAAATATGTTAGAAAAATGTTCAAAAAGGGAACGCGTCCCTAATACATAAAAACGAAAGAGCAAAAACCAAACCTACGAACCAATAGAATAAAAAAATCATCAATCAAGGAGCAAGCACTACCTCTAACATAACAGAAAAGAGAGCGAAGAATAAGAGACTTAAGGTTTGCAAAAGACGATTCATTTCCTTCAAAATTTCTGTTATTTCTCTCTCCAAATACACCACCAAACACAGTGTGGGGCGACCCTCCAAAAATCACGAGCATGACCAGTAACAGGCTATGTTACTCGGACTTGGGTACGAGTGTCGGACACGAGTACGTGTCTAGAGGTCGGATCCATTTATGTATCAAATTATAGGACACGGGGACACGGAATAAAAGTGTCCAAAACTTAGACACGGGTACTTGGACACTTCATATAAATATGGAACACTTCATATAAATATGGAAGTATGAAGTAATTACAACTGGATTCAACTTGGGCCAAAAGCCAAGGCCCAACGTCAGAGAGAAAACATTGCATAGGCACAAAGGCAGGACAACTAAATTTGACTATTGACTAAAAACCAACCACCACAAATAAAAGCCCAGCCAACGTATTTGTGTGTGGTCAGTGATGTAATTCACATATAATATTATAATGAGGTTTTTATTTTTATAGTGATGATCCAACCTATTTTGGTAAAAGCCCAACCCAACGTATTTCTTTTTGGTAAAGTTGGTATTAGGCTTCATTAATAGCCAAAAAGGCTAACCACCATGCACCAGCTGTCTTTTCTTTTTATTTGAGGAACCAAATGCACCAGCTGTCTTTCTTTTTTTGTCCTTTTCTTTTTGGCAAAGTGGGTAATGGGGACCACTTGCAGCAACTGTATAGCTAAAGCTTTTCATATTGTTTCACGTGGCCTGTTCAAGCAAAACTATCAGCTATATATTTATAAGAATAAAAAGTCAAGGCACAATAAACAAAAAAATGTCTCTTCTTTTCACAACTCCACCTTCAACCTTTCTTAACCCTATTTTGAAATCGAAGACCAAAGAGCTTCATCCTATTTTCAAATCGAAGACTACCAGAGAGCTTCATCGCCAGCTAATCAGCCGTGTCCGATTCAAAAACAAAGTGTCCGACCCGTATCCCGTGTCCATGTTGGCGTCGTGTCGTGTCGTGTCGTGTCGACACGAACACCCTCGCCTGAACCAGAGAGTCCAGGTAACACAAGTACACAAGTAACAGGGCATCTTCTCCAAGCATTAATTAATTGAAAAGAGTGCTTAGGGATTACCCACTGAATGCCAAAAATGCTGAATATGAGATTCCAACAATCAGATGCAACAGGACAATGCATAAGAAGATGGTCCATGGACTCACCGTCAGTTTTACAGAGACAGCACCAGTTAACAATGGTATTACCTCTCTTACGCAGATTCATTCTATAGAAATATAAAGAAACATGGAGAATTTAGACAAACAACAAAGACAAAAATCTCTTTTTATAAATGATGGAAGTTTTACATCATGAAGCTTTTGTATACAAAGGAAGCTTAAATAAAAATAAAAATAAAGATAAAATAAAATCTTCAAAATGGCCTAATCTTGGCCTTCTGTGTTGGCGGAGGGAGAATCAAGGTTGATGGGATTCCCCTCGGTTGTAGGGGCAAGTGGGGGCACGGTCAAGTTTTTGATACCCCCACTAGCAACTCCTTGTTCATCCTGAAAGGGGAGGCTGGAAGCCCCTGCAGCAAGAATCGCTGGGAGCACAGGAGGAGGTGGAAGGAATTCAACCAAAGTCGCAGCGCAATCTTCGAAGACCCCCTCTAATGGGTCTTTAATTGCATCAACATAGGACCCGGGAGGATCAACGGATAGCTCCTTGTCACATGCGTTCGGATTGGTAAAGCAAAGGCCCTTTGAGGCCCCTCAGGCGAAGGGTAGTCAAAAAAACCCTCCCTATAGCCTTTCGCATAACTCAAGGCAGCCGTTCGGGAGAAGTGGATCACCACTGCCTCAACTACCCCAGGGACCTGAACAAGAAGATCAACTAGCCGAACCCGTTCGGCCTTAACAGTCTGCAACTGATTCTCCACTTCAAGTCATGCTGCCCACTCAACCCCCCAGGCCGCTTTCAGCTCATCTCTCTCCTAAGATTAGCCAAGTTGAGACTTCACCTTTCCCAGGTCAAAGGAGAGCTTCTTGGTTGTACCCTCTAAGGATTGAATCTTACGGTCCCCAGATTCGATGGCCTTCTGCATGGTCGCCATCCCAAATACCGTCTACATAGGCAACACACAGTCTTGAAGTCCATGAATAAAAATGACTCAAAAACGACAGTCAAAGCAAGGTGGAAGTGAAAATTACCTCCATTGCGCTATTGGGAAAGCGAGTGAACATCTCCCTCCTATCCAGCTTGTCTTGAATCTGCTGATCCTTAGGGGACCACAGATTCTTGTAGTATGACAGAGCAATGGGTACGCTCCTGAACATAGAATCCAGGGCAGTCACCATAACACTACCGCCCTGATCATCTGGCTTGAAGAATTTCGGACTCTAAGCAGAGATGGGAACAAGAAGTCCTCCGGACCCTCATTCTGGACCCCTTGAGGGGAGGAACGGCTACCAGAGCCTGACCCTGCCAATCTAAGTCTCCTCCTAGGGGCAGTGTCCCCTTGATTAGCAACGGGACTTTTCCCCAAGGACGGAGCCTCAAAAGGATGTTGAGCCTCAGGATTTTGCTGGGACTGAGCATTCCCTCAGCAGGGGCATTGGCGGGACGCCTACCGAATTATGGAAGTTGAAAACGAGCCATGTTCCTGGCAGCAACAACAATACCTTCAAGACGTGCGGGGGATAACAGGGACGAACTGGAAGAAATGTTGTTCCACACATTCTGCTTCAAGTACGTGAGCCTGCCTAAACAGATTGTATAATCAAGGAGCTCATAAGGGATATCCAAAAAACGGCAAATAAACCTGCAAAAGCGAGGGAGACAATGCTCACATACACACTCGGATTTGTGTTGTTTAGAGCGAGGGTAAGAAGAAAGGGCACATTGCCCGAAAACGGTGGGTATGGTGGAAACGTTGGGAAGTTTCCAGTTCCCCCCAACCACAACCATCAAGTGCCTCCAAGTCTTCTGAGAGTCAAGATTAACCTTGCAGAAGGATCGGTTATGAATCGGGAAGAAATGATACCGATAATCAGCCCTCCCCGAACGGCCTGTATACCTAATCTTTACTATCTTATAACAAAAGAATAAATCAACAATAGAGAGAGGTCTAACTCACGACTACAATTTAAAGCTAGCAGAGATAATTCTAAAAAAGATTGGGTTAACTTGCAAAGGTGCAAGATTCGATTTGTTCAAAACAAGGTTATATAGAGGATGCAGTGGAAACCTAAGAACCTCTAAGTGCAGGGCAGAGAAAATCATCTCCTCCTCGGTTAGACCCTCATCGATCACATAATTATTGTCACTAGGGTAAATTTTGACTTCAACATCATTCGGGATATGGTAAAGTCCACGAATGGCATCAAGATCAATAGACATGGTGGAGGAGATTCCAAAAAATCCAGAGATGAAGAGCAAAAGAAAGAAGAGTACAACTAACCTCGCTAAGGAAGAGACGAAACCACACCGGTAAAATTTGTTGAGGAGAAGAAGATCGCCGGAGAAAAAAAAGCAGTAATTTTAAGAAGTAAGAAACAAAGGCTTCAATAAAGGCAAGATAGACAAGAGACAGAGAGGAAAATCTGAAGTGGAAAAGAAACTATATATGTATATAGACAAAGAAGTGGCTGCAAATAAAAAAAACTCAAAAGTCAAGCAATGATGATAGCGTGAAACCCAAGCGGTTCACTCCGTACCATTGCACACACGAAGCGAGAAACCCCATGTATACGCGCACGACCCAAGAATGCTGACTATACATCTATCCCACACTTATGAAGGACAATAGAAAATCCACCGGGCCAAATGCGGCCCAGCCCACCGTCTCAATTAAGTAACCCAGATGAAAAGGGGCTGGATTGACCTTGGGCCTGACCAACAAAACCAAGGAGCATTCCCGGTTTAGGGTCAGTCCAACAGAAGGAAGCCCAAGCCCAACCAAAGGCCTAGGGGACAACCAAGCCTCTATTGGCTCAGCCCGTTCAACCTTAGCCATAGTAAAGCCAACTCCAGGCCTGACTCCACTTGCATTCCATGTGGGCCTTACACCCATCATGGCCCGAGAAGGAGACCCAGTTCAGAAAAGGCCCAAGCCTAAGAGCCAAGAGAGGAACTTTAGGGCAAATGTAAACTTCTTTATAGAAGTTAGAGAAAGAATGGAAGGAGGATTATTTGGAGTGTGAGAAAATTCTTTCCTAATATAGAGAACTATTTCTTGCATCTTCAGTAATGGATATCTATTCTAAAATAGAAACGCTATCTTTTATATTGATGGTTAGAATATGCGGTGGTTCTTCTTTTTGCACAAAAATCAAGAGTTCAAAAAATACTCCAATTGAACTTAAATGTTTCATTGGCTGCTCATATTGCAATGAAAAGAACTTGGAACATTCATACAGGATTGTTAGCATCCTATTTGGTAATCATGCTTCACTGGTCTGCCTTTATGTTAATGATTTTGTTATCTCATACAACTCATACAAAACAGGTGAATTAAACAAACATCTAAGAAGTTCGCTAAGTAACAAGTACAAAATATTGTTAAAACGAAAAAGAGAATCGAAAAGCTCAGTCATACCTTGGGTATACGCTCTGGGTTAGGAAACTGTAGGTTCTGTGAATGAAGCATCTGGCGTTGAGTCATCAACAAGTTCTTTTCCTTCAGAAGGACATACCATAACTTGTTTAGATCATCCCAAGACTTAAGACGCAGCTCAGAAGCCTTCCAACCTCGACCTGAAAGAAATAAAGCATAATATAAGCGTGGAACCAAGCTTTAAAAGTTGAAAAAAAAAAAACAAAACAAAACAAAGGAAAATAAATTTGTATACAAAGGTTTTCAAAGTATGGCACAAGTATTTTGTGTCACCTCATCTTTATTTGTACTTTTTTCTTGTCTCTATTCTCTTATCTTTATTTGTACTTTTTTCTTGTCTATATTCTCTTCAGCTTTGACTACTAACTACCTCTTCTGTTTCTTCCTTTTTCTTTCCTACCATTATTTAATTAAAGGAACCTCATTGCAGCTAAAAGAGATTGTCTTACATCAGAGGCCTACTACATAACTAGTCATTGGTGTTGCAGAGCTAATTACTAAGGACCTGTTTACAAATTGTTTTCATCTCATTTCCTATTTATGATTTCGAAATTTTAGGAGACTTGACAAAAAACCATATTCAGTGATGCACTTCTATTTTCCTTTTCCGATAAGTGTGAGCAAAAATTGCAAAAGAGAAGCAAACACAAAATTCTTGTTATAACTTTTTTCAGCAGTTCTCGCGGCCTGAGGCAGGGGGACCCCCTCTCCCCGTTCCTGTTTCTTATTGTTATGGAGGCCCTTAGTAGGTTGATGAGAAGGGCTGTGGATTTGGGTTTCATTAGAGGCTTCAAGAGTGGCCCGGACTCGGTTCAGCAGATGGAGATCTCTCACTTACTTTTTGCGGATGACACTATTGTTTTTGGCGAGGCAGAGGTGTCCCAGTTGCAGTATTTGAGATGTGTCTTGGTTTGCTTTCAGGCTATCTCCGGACAACGTGGGTAAGAGTGTGCTTGTCCCTGTGGAGGAGGTTCAGGAGGTGGAAACTCTGGCTGCTGCTTTAGGGTGTGAGACGCGACGCTTCCCTATCTCGTACTTGGGTTTGCCGCTGAGGGACTCGGCCAGGAGGGTGGGAAGTTGAGACCCGGTGATTGAGCGGGTTGAGAGAAGATTAGCTGGTTGGAAAAAGCAATATCTCTCCAAGGGTGGTAAAGTTATGTTAGTGAAAAGTACTTTGTCAAGCCTCTCAACGTACTTTCTTTCGCTTTTTCGGATTCCAGCCTCTATTGTTGGTAGACTTGAGATGCTTCAACAAAACTTCCTTTGGGGGGGGGGGGTCGCCTTTTCAGTTTGGAGGACTTGGAATTAGGAGATTGGCTCCTTTCAACAGTGCTGTCTTGGCAAGTGGCTTTGGAGGTTCGGCAGTGAAAGACACAGATTATGAAGAAGGGTCACTTCCCGTCGCTGAGAGGGGGGGGGTTCAGTTAGGCCAGTCAGGTCTACTAGTGGAGTGGGGGTGTGGAGGTCCATTGGGAAGGGGTGGGATGAATTCTCCAAACATATTAGATTCGGAGTTCGGGATGGAAGGAATGTCCGGTTTCAGGAGGATTCCTGGTGCGAGGATAGGCCATTGGCTCTTTTGTTCCCAAGGCTGTTCAGGATTGTTCATAGTTGTTAAAGGCTCAAGGCGCACAAAAGCGCAAATGTCTCCTGGAGCCTGAGGTGCAAGGCGCAAGGCGAGGCGCGCGCCCAACTGAAGCAAGGCGCGCGTTGGAAAAAAAAAAAAAAACAAAACCCACCTAATAAAGTATTAAAAATGCAATAGTATATAAAAAGATGCAAAAGTCAACTAAATGAATTACTTAAGTTCAATATTCAACATAAAGATGTCAAAGCCAACTAAAAAATACAGAGCTTCAAAGCAATATTAACATTTCAATTTAAAAAGGCAAAAAGCAGAATATTATTTCATGAAAAAAACACATGGAATCAGACTCTTCAATGTTAAGTTTGATGTTAATTTGACTTCAATTTGGTGTTACAATTTGACGTTAAAAATGCATTTCCTCAAACAGTCAAACCAATAACATTCTAAGAATGGAACAAATACAGGCATACAATTTGGTTGCATGATTTCATGAGATCCGAAAAAATTTGACTAATAAAATCATAACAAAAATTCTTTTTTTCTCCTTTTTATGTTGTAAGTTGTAACATTTTAACTAATAAAATAATAATATAATAAAAACAATAACAATATAAGAAATAAACAAAGAATAAACAATTAAAAATCCAGCATATTGTGGAGAAAGACTTAATAAACAATCAGGCGCGCCTTTAAAGAGCCTTTCACCTTGCACCTGTGAAGAAAAGGCGCGCGCCTTATATAACACCTGCGCCTTAAGTCCCTAAAGGCGATGCGATGGCGCCTAAAGGCGCCTTGCGCCTCCGACGCCTTTGACAACTATGGGATTGTTGTTGACAAACATGCTATGGTTGCTGACTGCTATCGCCTTGATAGCGGGAGGTTGTCTTGGGATGTGCGATTCCGGCGATCTTTTCAGGATTGGGAGTTGGATGATGTCACTGGTTTGTTGGCTCTCTTGTACAGACAGGAGGTGGAGGGCACTGGTGCGGATTCCCCGATTTGGGTGCCGTCTACACAGGGGATGTTCCAGGTCAGGTCCGGTCCTTTTTTGTGCGCCTCTCTGATTTTCATGGTACCACCTTCCTGTGGAAGACGATGTGGCTGTCTAAGGCGCCTCTTAGGGTGGCCTTTTTTGTGTGAACTGCAACTTGAAGTAAGATTCCGACTTTGGACAATTTGAGGAAGAGAAGACATATCATTGTTAATCGATGTTGTCTTTGTATGATTAATGGGGAGTCCGTGGAACACCTTCTGCTGCATTGTCCTGTGGCCCATGATTGTTGGAGTCTTATTTTTGGTTTGTTTGTTATCCATTGGGTCATGCCTCGGACTTCTCGGGAGTTGCTGGATATCTGGAGGGGCCAATGGGTGGGCGCTCAGGCTAGAGACTTCTGGAGGGTGACCCCTTTTGGCGTTTGGTAGAGTCTTTGGAAAGAGCGGAATAGAAGATCTTTTGATGGGAAGGAGTCCTCCATTGAGGTGCTGAAATTTTCTATTATTTGTACTCTTTTTTTGGGGGTTGGGGGAGAGATTATTCTTCTCTTGAGGATATTCAGGACTTTTTGGGCTCTTTGAGTTCATAGGTTCCATTTTTTTTTTTTTTTTTGTGTACAGCTTGGGACGCGTTCCCCTTTTGAACGCTTTCTAATACATTTTACTTATCAAAAATAAAAAAACATGATGGTCCCAATAGAAAGGAAGGCTTAGATTCCTAATGCTTACAGAAGCCCTCAAATTAGTGGTGCAATTGGATTGTCAAAGTTTCAAATGTTCTTCATCAAGTTTCAAATTGTTGCCATGTTGAACATTTTAATTTATTTTATGATTTCCAAATTTGTTGATTATAAATATTGGACGAAAACATCCTATCCGATATTTGTGGGAAAATTTGAAACTTAAAGTAGCGCTCCTTTATGATTGTTAACATTAAATTTTGTTGTAATTTTCTGGAATTTCAAACCATGGCATAATTTTTTTACTTCCATCCAAAGTTTGAAAAAAGCAGCCACGTATTTTTATTTGTGGTTATTTGAAATATCAAGCATCAAAACTCAATTGACGGAAAAAGTTTGTACCGTAAACCATAGGTTTGTCCTCATCCGGACTCCTGTCTGCCTCAAAAAACTCTTCTAGAGGATTGTATCCAGTCTTAACTGTAGAAGCAGCAGCTGACGCAGCAGAAGATTCTGATTTGGCTGCAGCAAAGAGCGTCCTCCCGAGAACTCTTGTCAAAAACATGATAGCAGACAGATTGCTGCATAATAGAGCAAGTTTATATATATATATAAGAAACAATACAGCAAGTTAATAATGTTTATTTTTGATAAAATTGATATTTCAAAGTTACAACACTTCACAAAGCATACCTACATATAATAAAATACCAATCATCAACATCCCTGCCTTAATCCCATATGAATGACCACACGAATTCTCTTTTTTCATCCTTTCTATTACACGTCATTTCACCTACTATATTTAACCTTCTAAAATAATTTGTAATAACTTCATCCCACATTAATTTTGGTCACCCTCTCTGTTTCGTATCTTCTATGAAAACGGATCTTCCTCTTCTTACCGGCACATCTAAACGAACTCTAATCTCAGTATTCCTATACATATTATAATCTTTATAAGTTTTATAGAGATTATTTTCTTTGTAAAGTCTCTCAGAAGCCTATCATATTTCTAAGTCTATCAAAACCATATGTGGATTGTTTTCATCTTATGCAAGCTTTATATATGACTTTGATCAGTGAATAAAAAATCTCTTTTCGTCTAACCATGGTATTAGAATGGCAAGCGTGTAAGATTGTAAAGATTTGGAGAAAGACCGAAAAGATAAGGTTAGTGGTATTCGATATTCATTTTGAAAACAAAGAAGAGAGAGAGGAGAGTGAAGAACAGGAATCCAAGTTCTCAGTTGTAGGATACTTAAAAGAGAAAATTTTGGACATGTTTAAAAAAACATGGTAAAAGAACGGGGGAAAGGATTTGAAGGGGTATTCGTCCTATCGAAAAACTACAAAATAAAATGGTCATAATATCATTGAGAAACAAATCTGAATACCAAAGACATATGAATATTTCTGGGTTTGGTTTTCAGAGAATCAGAATCCTATCAGATGTGTAATTTTCTTATAGCGATTTTACAGATCTTCAAAAGCTTTATTTGGTCCTAGCATTTATGTGATCTCCATGTATAGTTTCCACACCATCTCTTCCTATTTTTTGCAGTAAATTATATGTTAGGCATCCACTTAGACAAGAACCAAAATGACCTCCGAGTAGCCCATCAGCGATTCATTGACAGAATGATTCTGATATGATGGTAGTTAATTTTAAAACCAAAATAAAACGGAATAATAAATTCATCATAAGAGAATAAAAATAAGAACTCGTCATTATTTATTAAACCAGTACTTGCAGGTCCTACCATAACTTGCTTTTTGCTGCTTTGGTCATTAGGTTGCCTAATTTACACAGTGATTTTCAAGACAACATACTATAAATCTTATTCTAGAAAATATACGACATACTAATAATGAAGATTTGTCACACTTGAAGTGTGAACATGCTCTCATTCAACAGAAATGTCACTGATGAATGACAAAGTAACAAAACAAAAGGACTTGTTCAGTAAGTGAATGAGACATGGAACTCGAGGATAATTCAGTGGTTCTTCAACTGAGTTACTATTTTCAGAGCTCCTTGTATTAAATAAAGTTATAGTATACTCCATAGAGCAAACAGAAATTTTCCTTAGCCGTGTAGAAATGGTAGGTCATTCCTACTTCAAATGATAATAGCTCCACAACCATTGCTATCCCTTTATCCCTACAGTTTGGCCTTTCTTTTTAACACCCAAAACTCGAAATAGTTGTCCAGATGTTCCAGCACACTTTCTAAGTGCCAGCAATTTATCATCATCCTCATGACCAAGCCATTCCCAACCCTTTTTCCTTCTACGAACTCCAGAACTTTTCTTTTTACCCTTCTAATCAAAATCTACAAACTGTCCACAACCTTACCCACCATAAACTTAATCATTGGCAACATTATATTTGAATTTTCTAGTGCATTCCTAAATCAATTTGGTATCCACATCTCCTAATGCATTGCCCTGTGGAGCACGATTGTTGGAATCTTATTCTTGGATTGTTTGGCATGTGTTGGGTAATGCCACGTTCTACTAAGGATTTGATTCATGCCTGGAGAGGATGTCGTGTGAGCAGGGGTGTGCACAATTATTGGAGAACTGTCCCACATTGCGTCTGGTGGTGCATTTAGAAAGAGAAAAATAGTAGAATGTTTAAAGGAAAGGAGTCGTCTACGGCGACTCTGAAACTTGTTATTATTCGCTCTCTCTTTAGTTATGTGAAGAGGACTTCTTGCTCCTCTTTTGATGATTTAATTACTTTTTCGGATTCTTTGGGGCCTTAGACCCCGGTTCCTCTAATGTTTAAGGGACGCGTTCCCCTTTTGAAGGCCCTTTTTAATTTATTATTACTTATAAAATAAAATAAAAAAATTGGTATCCAGTCTCATAAAAGAGCAATAATATTGCCCTTGTTTTACATAAGCTAGGACTGAAGTTTCCATGGGTACGCATTGTTGGAGCCATGGACGGCAAAAAGAAAAGAACACTTTCAACCTTCACAGTGCCAAACTCCCTTTTGTGTCAGCCAACTTAGTACTAGAAAAGCATAATGAGATGCACCTTACTAAGTAGGCTTATTGCTTTGCATGAGCTTAATGAATGATAGGTTGAGGCACTGTTCTACATATTATTTCCAGTTTTGCACAAAACTAAGCCACCAACAGACAACCAATGAGCAAGCCTCAAGTTGACACGACCACCCTCTCTCTATCTCTCTCCTATTGAAGAGAGATATAATGTAGCACGATTACATCTTCTCAAAGTTACAGTTTACAAATACAAACAAAAACAGATATCAAGTCTATTTAGTTTATGCATGAGTCTTCATCATTCTCACTTGTCAAAGGAAATCCATCCATTGACCGTCAAACAGACATTAGAGTTGAAGGTCACAAAAACAAGAGCCATCTTTTTTCAGACCAATAAAAAAGATAGTATTGTTGTAATTCAGTATAATCAAACATATGGAAGTGCATAATATATTATTCAACAAATGAAACATTTCGTTTGCTTCTATAGACTTGTCAATGGAGCGGATTCTGATCCGGATCCGATCCGATTAGTCGGATATGGATTGAACAAAAAATCCAATAATCCGATTACGATCCGAATCCGATAATCCGTTAGTTTAACAAATCGGATATGAATTATGCTGATCTGATCCGTTAATAATTCGATCCGATCCAATTAAAATTATATATATATATATATATCAATACTTCTATTAAAATTGTATTAGAGGTAACCCAAAAATTCAAAAAATAAATAAATAAATAAATAAAAAATCATAATATCATATATACAATAGTGTGGTGTTCTCATCCACATACTAATAAATCTCTTAATATACATACTAATAATATCATACTCTTTATTCATTAACAAAGAATAAATAATTTACAATATACTATATATGAATGTTATATATATTAGTTATATATTACTAAATTTATATATATTAATTATTTATCATTATATTCATTTGGTTGCATAGTTATATTATGTAGCATTCTGTATAGTAGCAATTCTCCGCTTCATCTAACTTTATAATTATATATGTTAGTAAATATAATTTTAATCCGAATTCTAATCCGATTCGATCCGAGTCCGAACTAAATAGGATATGGATTGGGACATTCAGTCCGAAAACCCGTTAATAATCTGAATCCGATAATCCTTTTGCTTAACAAATCAGATATGGATTTAATCGATCCGATCCGAATCCGATCCATTGACAGGCTTCTATTCCTAATTTTCTATGTGATACTGTAGGGCCAGCCCTGAGATTCCAAATATTTTGAGAGGCCCTAGGAAAACTTTCAAATGTGAGGCCCTTAAGTTCACACGCGCAAAAAAAAAATAAAAAATTATAAGAGTGCGAAATTTTCACACGATGTTTTCAAATTCTATAGCTAATATAATTGTGCCTGTGCAATGTGCATAAGACAACTAACTAATAACTATAAATTTATCAACACCAACAAATAATTGTGCGCCTGTACAGTATGCATAAAACAATTAACTAATAACTATAAATTTATCACCACCAATAAATAATTGTGCGCCTGCGCAGTTTGCATAAGACAACTAATTAATAACTATAAATCTATCATCACCAATAAATAATTGTGCGCATGTGCAGTGTGCATAAGCCAGTTAACTAATAACAATAAATCAATCAATTAAAGAGTACAAAATTTTCACAGGCACAAAATAAAAAATGAAGAGAACAGTTTACTAGAGAACAAAAAACTGCAGCTTCTTTTACGTTCATTGTTTATATAGCTACTAAAATTTGATGATTACAGATGACAAAAATATGTGGAGATGAGGTGACTATATATATTATAGGAGGCTGAACTTGTGGTACTGAAGAAGTAGTGGGACTTTTAGGTTATACGTGGCATCCACTATCATATATAGTTTTGTCTTTCACTCTTTGTATTAACTACACTACACTTTGTGTTTGTTTTTATTTGGGAGCCAATTACCCCTTTCTTGATTTCAGGATGAGGAATCAACTTTAGTAGCAATGATTGGTTGATCATTGCTACAGAAGAACTGTGCAAATTAATAGAAAAACCATTAACTTTTGTTTTGTTAAAGCCTGCTCTTGATTTCCATGTGTTTGTACATTCTGATGGCAAGTGCTTTGACAGTATTATTAACTGAAATTCTAGCTGAGCCAACTTCAAATAACATCAATAATGGTGGTATGTATCTTCATATAAAAATAAAATATAAAAAAAACCCTTAATTTGGCACTCTTAAGTATGAGCATAATTTAGAGATCGAAAAAGTTAATTATTACCTCAAAGGCTCAACCCACTAGAAGGGATCCTTAATTTTCGTAGGATTGAATGTGAAAATGCAAAAAATTATGAGGAAAAGGGGGTATGGTTGCTGCTGTTGTGAGATTGGAGTGGAATTAGGGAGAGGAAAAAAAAAAGTTACCTGCCATAGATTACGGACTCGATCGCCATGAAAGACACATGTAGAAACGCACACATTTATTAAAATACTAAGAGAACCTTAATATATTCATTCAGCTTTTGATAGCCATCACACACAGTGACACAGACACAAAACCCTAGTTTGGAAGCTACTTTTCACTATTGGAACAAAGGTAAAGGCCCGAATCAAACGAACCAAACAGGCCCTACCAGCTACGAGTTCCACTCTACAATGTAAACATCGAGCTGCGGTGTCGAAGGGAAGACTCAACGGAAAATGCCCTCCAGTAAGTCAGAACAAATCAAATGATGAGATGAAAGAAAGAAAGAAAGAAACATATATAAAAGATCGATTCATGCAAAAGGAGAGAGAAGAGAGAGAGAGGATGAACATACCTTGTCAGCTGAGGCGATAGCGGAGGCTGCGCCCTGCGGAGTGTCGAAGCAGATTGTGTCGTCTGAAACTTGCCCTAACTTTTTTTTTTTTTTTTTTTTTTTTTTTCCATCCCCTATTGGCCTCAAAATTTGACGCCTCTAAAATTTGAGGCCCAAGGACCAAGACTTGTCCTAACTTAATTTTTTCTTTTTACATCCCATATGGGCCTAAAATTTGAGGCCCAAGTCGAAAGCCTTGGGCCAGGGCCGGCCCTGGATACTGTCTAGAACATAGTGAACTGTGAAACTCATCTATCAACAAATATCCAACAACTTGAAAAGAAAAAAAACGAAGCACGCCGACCTAAAATTTCAAAAGCACTTTTTTTGGTTTTGAGCAAGATCATAGTTTTGCTATCGGTGCTCTCCAACATAAAGACTTCCAAAATGTCAACCAAAAAAAAAAATGCAAAAAAAACTGATTTTTGAATTTTTTTTCACTGCCGAACACGCCCTTAAATGTATTTTGGGCTACAGTATTACTGGGTTACAAAAGTTAAAAATCCAAAAAATGGTGGGCCCACACGTCAGAAGCCTGCGATCACTAACTGAGTCGCCAAAAAGGGTGACCCATTCTGCGACCCAAAACATGGGATCAATTTTTTTGAGACTCTATCAGAGCAATCTAATAACTAATAAAAGCCCGGAATCTCTAAATTCTGAGCTGTTGGAGCTGCTCTAAAGACTTCAAAAATGTCAACCAAACAGTGCAATACAGTGTTTTCAATAAATGCCATCGGTGACCCATCTCATCAAATAGGTAGCATACAGAAAAACCAAGCACTTCATAAAACGCTCTCTCTATAGTTTATATGATACCAAACATAGCAAACCCATATGAATATACGACGAGTTCTTGAGGAATAGAAATGTGTGTACGTGTGTGTGCGCACGCGCGTGTGCGTGTGTGTAGATATATATAGTTTAATGCATAAGAACCCAGTCTTGAAAAGGGAAAAAGAACATATATTAGCCCTACTACAAAGTGAATAAAAGATTAAGATAGGTTGAAGACAAGCATCAATCAATTAAATAGCATCAATCAATTAAATGAGAGGGCCATTTCTTTCATTTTTGTAAGTAAAAGTACATATCAATATTTTTGTATGGTGAATCCTAACATTTTTTTACTCCGCATCTTAATATTTTTCTACTGTGCATCCTAAACATAGGTGACGTAGCTATTTCTGAACCACTCATTTTAAAATGAAATAAATGGCACACTATTTTACTAGAGGTAATTTTCACCCAAAAGTGTATAATAGCAATTTGTAACTCTTGTCTTGAGTGGGCCTACTTATTTGTAAGCCCACAATAGCAATTTTCAAATGAGAGGGCCTACTCATCAATTCTGAAAGTTTAAAAAGTGATAATACATTTTATTGGGCCAGCAAATATAGTTCATTTTTCTTATTTTATTGGGTGTGGCCCATTTTTTTTAGACTTGCAGGGTAAGGACAACTAAACAAAAGCCTCCTCAGAGAGATGGCGATTTACATCTTCATATCCTCTCTCCATTACATTATCTCATGCTTTTTATGTCTTCTTCCTTTTTTCTTTTTCTTTTTTTCTTTTTTTTTTCATGTCTTTTGTTTTATTTGAGCTCTTTACTTCATCTTTCTGTTCCCTTTCTACGATTGCTTTTATTAGTGCCTTTCAATTTCAACTCTACGTGACTTTATTATGGAGTGAGACATACAAATGTATTGTTTTGGAACATCAATTTATACAGAAATATGCAATTTACGCCCTTCTAATTAACTTGTACAAAACACAAAACTAAATGTGAGATACGTATTTCCCAAATGATGTAGATGAAATTATTGATGGTTGTCTTGCCACATCAACCATCCATAAATGACAGGTTATTTTCTTGCAGTTGGTTGTTCTTTCTTTAGTGAAACATCTATTTTAGTTTAGAGTCATAATTAAAACTAAAATGAGTAAAAATAAAAAATAAAAATTCAATTAATTAAAAGAACCCCTCCCACTTTCTTTCACCGATTTAATAGTTACAACCAATTTTTTTCAATGACTTTTGGTACAGCTGGATTAGTTTATTATTATCATAAAAATTATTTAGATCATTCTATTTACCGATCAACTTTAACAACAAATTTTTATCGTCACACCAGATAAACAGAAGAAGCATATCCATAATTAACCAGAAGACACAAACCAGAGGATTTGCTAGGTGTTGTGTGGGTCCCCTAATGAGGAAGTTAGGGATATGGTGGTAATAATGGTATCGTATCAAAGGAATGAAAGCAACAGCCACGTTAGGTGTCTTGTCCTTTTCTTAATATAAAATAAAAAAAAAAAAAAAAACACATCATTTGCTGGTAATTTTTTAGTCACATCACTAACAATACTTTTTGTTTCAACCAAAACAAACTATTCTTTTGCCCCGAGCAAACTTTGTAGCTTCAAGTATATCCATCCCATCCAAATTGAAGTGATTCATCAGATGATAATTGCATATGACTAAAGTGGTTTTATTTGATTTTTTATTTTTTATTTTATAATTTAAGAACAATGTTGTTTTGACATGTCAACAATTAAAGGTTATATAAAGTTCAAAAAAGTAATCAAAAGGTAAGCAAGAGGACAAATTTATAAAGCTCCTGATTCGTAAAGTTTTTTTTCATTATGACCCTCTTCCTTTTCTGATTGTGAAATAATTACCCTTGAACAATCAAAAAACACTAGTAATTGGACATCTTATATTCAAAGGTAACATAATTGAAGCAATTATGTGATGTATTACTAAAATATGCAATTAGGTTCTAATTGTACTATGTTATTAATATAAAGTGTCCAATTAATGCTCTTTTTTATACATATTAATTCCTTCCAAGAATTTATAACTGACAAAATACATTTTTGGTGTAAAGCACTACAAGTGATCAGAACAAATGGAATTCAATTACACGAAAATCTAATAACTCATTTGTCATTTTGATAATCCTTTCCATATGCTTAAAGCCTTAAAAATAATAATAATAAAATAAAATCCTTTTCATATGCTTAAAGCCTTAAAAAATAATAATAAAATAAAGTCTTAACCCTTCTAAAAAAAATCCTTTTCATATGTGATACTTTGCTCCTGTCACATATATTACATGTGAAAAAGCCATGTTGAAGTACTCACGACTTTTACAATTTATTTGACCAGCAATGTTCATTCAATTCACTGGTTTGACCTAAACTGTTTTTTATTTTATTAATTTTTTTATTCCCTTAATTCCTAATTTCCACATATCGCAAATTTACCATTTAAGTGTTGCGAATAATTCCACTCCATTATGTGATAGCAGGACTAACAAAATATCTCGCCAGTCAGATATTTCTCCTCTTTAGAATGATTATAGGTAGTTAAATAATTTTAGGGACAAAAATATAACTTATAATTGAAAACCCACATTGTTACGGGACGGAGATGGGAAAAGGTCCCCCACCCGCTTTGTTTATAATATTAAATTACAATTTTATCCCTATATTTTATTTTCTCTTTAATAATATTAGGTATATATTAAGAAAATCCTAACTTATTATATTTCGATTACTAAGTATTATTTTGTATTATTCTTATTTGATGTTCTAACAATAATTTTAGTTTTAAGTTTGAATTTATAAGTTGAATCTTATTTTTATTTGCATAAGAGAAAAAAAAATTATTATTACAATTGAAAATTTATTTTATTATTTATTTTCATTAGATTCGTATTACAATTAAGAAAATAATCTACAAAACCCGCCCTTGTCCTGTCTCACTTCGCCCCTCTCGTTTAATAAACGATTTTGAGACAAGAATGGAAATAGATATTTTAAACAAGGATTACAATGAACACAATATATTTTAGTTGCATGATCCCAAAAAATCACATTTTTAACAGCTTGAGTAATAAAATTTAACAATCATTAAATAAACTCATTAGGCTTGAAAACATATTACGACGTATTGGTATTCAATCTGACCCACTGGTCAGATTTACCTGATTATTAATAGTTGAGCTTTTTGAACTTAGATTATCACACTATTATACAGTCATGTACATATATGGTTCCATCTATTAATAATTTAATAACAGTAATGAAAAAGCTTGAGCTTCGAAGGAAACCTATTTTACAATACAATTAATAGAACACACTCACATTTATTCTACTAATGGGAGATCATTATGTCATTTCTTTTAGTAAAATGATCGAACTAAGTGAAAAAAATAAAAGTTTAGTAGATGCAAGTATCAAATCCTCTTTATCAAATTTAGAACTGGAACTAATGTCGTTTGTTATATTTTAATCTTTAACAACTGTCTTTGTCCTTTTTTTTTTTTTTTTTTTTTTTTTTTTTGAGGGGGGGGGGGGGGGGGGGAGCGTGTTGGGGTGGGGCAAGGGGTGGTGGGAAAGAAAGACAAAAGAAGGGGTGTGTTCATTCACTTCACTGGTGTCATTCATTTATCTCGTTTCTTCTTCACTCTTCCCTATACTGTGTCTCGTTTGATTTTGGAGTACAATTATCAACACATCTAAAGTTGATCTCTCTCTCCACCCTTTCCTCTGGACTTTCCTGGGTGGGGTCTGTATTTTTATGGACTTAATTAGCAACGCATCACTTTATTTTGTTTTCGAAAGATTGTCACAAAGGTACTTCTGTGCTTTCTCTTTTTCTTTCTTGCCAGTAGTATTTACACTATTTTCTCACATTTAAGTTGCAGTTTCATTTTCACGGTTATATACAACCGACTACCACATGTGGGTTGTTGTTCCAGACCTGTCATTGTTATTTGGTTCTTGAATTAGTGATTCAGTTTTCTGGGTACCCCAATTTTGTAGTTTTTTTTCTTCCTTCTCTGATAAATTTGGTGTTTTGGTTGTGTGCAGGTTTAGATTTTGTACTTTTTTTTAGGGTATTTCTTTTAGAGAGAGAAAGAAAGTTTATGGCTGGAGGTGGAGGAGCAGCAAAGCTGGATGTGCCAGCGCCACACCCACCAAAGGATCAGCTTCCCAATGTTTCCTTCTGCATTACCAGTCCTCCTCCATGGCGTGAGTCTCTGTTATCCACTGTTTTTTTTTTTTTTTCTTTAGCAAATGCTATAAATTTTATTTTCTCTAGAATAAGTAAAAAAATGTTGGATTCTCTGCTCCTCTCATTTTTTAATAGAAAAAAAAAAAAAAAAAAAAAAAAGGAAAAGAAAAGAAGAGAATTGAATCTAATCTGTTGTTATCTCTATTTATGCATACATATGTACGTATGAAAGTTAGACTAGTTAGCTTTGGGTTCTGATTCTTCTGATTCTATCTGATTTCTTTTTCATAAAGTTGGAATTATTATTTTTTGTTAATTGCGTATTTTATTTTATTTTTTTATTTGGTAACAAAGAATCAACCCACCCGCTATTCACTTTGGACTCTCCGTGGTTTACAAACTCCTAATATGTGTATCAACTGTGTATTGCGTTATGGCATATCGAGTTTTTTCCTTTCTTATTAAGTACGTTTGTCTTTTCCATTCTATATTTGAGCAAAGTTCTATTTCTGTAAAGGAAATGGCTAATCTTGTGAACAAATTATGCTGTGTGTGTAAAAATTTCTGTAAAGGAAATGGCTAATCTTGTGAACAAATTATGGCTAATCTTGTGAACAAATTATGCTGTGTGTTTTTACTTATCGGTCTTGTCCATGTTTTTGTGTGATTGTTGGAAATTTGAAATATGGTATGACGTTTCCTGTAACTATTTTATAATCGTTGATTTAATTGAAGCCAATTTAGGATTTTTTATTGTTTACTGCTACGTATCCTTTTATATATATATATAGTTTCCTGTAACTATCTTATAATCGTTGATTTAATTGAAGCCAATTTAGGAGTTTTTATTGTTTACTGCTACGTATCCTTTTATATATATATATATATATATATAATCTCTATATAGTCAATTCACATATGGTAAAACTAAGTTCCATCTAATATCACTTTATCAAAACTATTTTTGGATACATAATACCTTTTAAATTTTAAGGATGTTGTGTCAATAAGTATTGTAGTTCAGTAAATACAATATCATTGTGCTGCATTCTTTCTCTTTATGGTCAAACAAATTTGAGTTTTTTGCTTTGTAAATTTGTAGTTGTGTGCCTTTGTTTTCATGAATAGTTTTTCCAAATTCATAAAAAAATTGGCATATTTCTCATGCAGATGAGGCTATCCTCCTTGGTTTTCAACATTATTTAGTGATGCTTGGCACAACCGTTATCATTCCCACTGCTCTTGTTCCTCAAATGGGAGGAGGAAATGTAAGACCAACAAATGAACATATGCCCCTCTTCGTAATTTCTTTTTTTTTTTTTCATGGTCTTGCCACAAATAGTGATCTTTCCCAATCTAAGCGACACCAAAAATGTCATTCTTACAGGAGGAGAAAGCAAAGGTGATCCAGACACTGCTGTTTGTTGCTGGGTTGAACACATTGCAGCAAACAATTTTCGGGACTAGGCTACCTGCTGTGATTGGAGGGTCATATACGTTTGTTGCACCTACAATTTCAATTATTCTTTCTGGTCGATTCAGTGATGCAGACCCTATAGAGGTTTGTGATCTAGATCACATCCCGTTATCTGTGTTGTCTGGATGGAACATTGCAGTTGCATTAACATGTGATGCTTATCAAACAAAAAAATGCACAAAACTGTGGTTTACATGTGCTGCTTAATGCACAAAACTGTGGTTTACAAGTGATGATTATCAAACAAAATTTGCACAAAACTGTGGTTTCACCTGTTGTGTTCCCGTTGAGTTATTCTGAAAATGTGCATTTTTGTTTTTTTTTGTTAATAACTTGAAATTAGACAATTGTGGAAAACATGTGTTGTCTGCTTTAGGTCAATTAAAAATGTAATAGTCTTGCCAGCTTTCCCATTTTCATCGAAACAACACCTCGTGAACATACATTTTGGATTACATTTTTTCACCCTTTTGATAAGAACTTGCACACTGAAAAGCAGCAGCAAATGTAGAGAGAAAGAAAGTGAAAAATCAAAATCCAAAAGCCAGAGTAATCTTGATGATATTTGATTCTAACTACGTGATCGCTTTCATTGTCTACTCAGAGATTCAAGAAGATAATGCGGGCAACCCAAGGTGCACTTATTATTGCTTCAACTCTTCAGATAGTCCTAGGTTTCAGTGGCCTTTGGCGTAATGTTGTCAGGTTGGTTCAGAATTTACAAAAATGCATAAATTCTAGACTATGCTGAGACAACTTGGATTTTTATTATTTTATTTATTTATTTATTTTTTGCATTTTGTTCAGTAAAAGTTTGGGCCAACAAGTGGTCATGGATTTAGGTTTGGGTTTGAGAGCAACGATTCGTGTAAAATAATGGCAAGGATTAGGTTTATCTCCAGCCTTCTTTTCCCAAACATCCCACGTAGGTGAGGCGTAGTTTGGGTAATGCAATTTTTTAAGTATAGTAAATAGCTGGCTTGGACTTTTGAGCCTGCCATGATGTGAATACCATATAGAAGACAAGTTTGGAAGTATTAAGTATCCCAAGATATCTTCCCAGTTGGACTTACTCTGGTTGGCTCACATTAAAAATGACTTTAAGTTGCTTGCCAATCGAATTTCCGAAGCCCGGATTATTTGGGTTATACTTGGCTCCTTTTCATCTTACTAATACTAATCCATTGTCATGTTTGCTCTGACTGGAATGCAGCAGAAATTTGAATACTGTTTTGATTATTTCCCCATCGAAACACGTCTGAAATTCTACATATTCTCAGGTTCTTGAGTCCACTTTCTGCGACTCCTTTGGTTGCTCTTGCTGGTTTTGGGCTCTATGAGCTTGGTTTTCCTGGGGTAAGTATACTTCACTGGTCATGGATTCGTGGGTTTTATGAATTTTGCATGTGTGTGTGCACAGGCATGCATCTGTTCTTATGCATGCTTGCTTGTTTATGATTGCATTCCACTGGATAACAACTGTTACCTTGGTTGTTTAGGTTGCCAAATGTGTTGAAATTGGACTGCCGCAGCTTATCATTTTAATTGTTTTATCACAGGTAGAATTCTTTGATATATAACAATAAAAATGTTTTCCTTACATATAATTGTCATTTGCAATTTATTTCCGTGTTGAAAAGATCAACACTGTTTCCACGCTCAATCTTGTCTTGAAATTATTCCTATTAGACTTAAGTTGTTTATTTCTCTATGTGCAGTATTTAACTCATTTGATAAGCGTAGGAAAGAATATCTTTGGCCGTTTTGCTGTTATAATTTCAGTCGCGATTGTATGGATTTATGCTCACCTACTCACTGTGGGTGGGGCCTACAATGGTACAGCGCCAAAAACACAAACAAGCTGCCGTACTGATCGTGCTGGACTTATTGATGCTGCTCCTTGGTAAGCATGTGTTGTTCCTGTTATTAGTCAATTCTGTATTTGTATATCGTTGAATGTAAATTTGATGATTATTCCACGTTACAGTATCTATTTAACATCAAAGTGTCTAAAAGTTTTGATAATTTTTTTTTTTTGTTTAACCTTGCCAAACATGTTCCATTCTATCATGCCAATTGTTGTTTCTTAGACACTTTCAAGTTTTGCTTACATTTATTTGGGCAAGCTGAATGGAAGACCATTGATAAATAGGCTATCTTGATTATAGTCTAAATGGAAGAGAACCTGTGATTCATGCATTTTATTTTTGTGGTGTTTAACTTGAACTTTTCTTTCTTTCTCCTTTTGAGTTGTTCATTATGCTTTTGGTCCCTTAATGTTTTCATATCATATATGTATTAATATATACATATGTATGTTATTGAATTAAACATTGGATTTTAGGTGTAAATGGTAATTTTGGAACAAGAGTGATGACTAATGATCACTTGATTTTATATTAGCATATATAAATTGTGGTTCAGTAATATGGGATGACGTGTGCAAGAGCGTTCCTTAATATTGTACCGGGGTTTGCATTTTCAGGATTAGAGTTCCATATCCCTTTCAGTGGGGAGCACCTTCATTTGATGCTGGTGAAGCCTTTGCCATGATGATGGCTTCCTTTGTTGCTCTTGTAGAGGTTTGTTTCCTTCTTAGTGACGCTAAATTAAAACTGGATGTGCTTCATTGTAATTTTTGTTGTGGTGGTTATTGTTAGGTTTTTCCCTTTTTGCTTCTTTGTGATTGTTGCTTTGGTGGTTGTTGCTTCTTCCTTTTTAGACAAGTGCTGTGGTGGTTGATGCTACATCATCATCATCATTTGTATTAGAAGTCTCCAGCTGTCTATATTGTTTCTGCTATTTATTTATTTTTACTATCTTTGTGTTTTTTGATTCTTCGTTGATCACTTGTTTTTGCGGAAACAGAATCAATTTTCATTGGTAAAGCTTGAAAAAAATATCTTAAAAGTTGAGTGGTTATACCTGTTTAACTATGAGCAGACATAAATCTAATTGTGCTTTGGGAATGCCTTTATATTTCCGTTGTTGTCCTAGTTTCTTTATTTCAAACTAAATTTTGTACTTTGCAACTAGTTTGTTTCTTACATGTTTTTAATGATATAAGCAGTCCACCGGCGGCTTTATTGCGGTTTCAAGATATGCAAGTGCAACTCCCTTGCCGCCTTCTATTCTCAGCCGCGGTGTTGGTTGGCAGGTATACTAAGCTTGTTGGTTGTCTTTCAGTAGTGTGATTGAACTTGAGAATACAGTCGAGTGTTTTGGTTGAATCAGGTTGTGTTTTGCATCCACCACAACCTGAGAATGTTTCCTCCCAAAATTTTAAGTTCTCAGCTTCCCTATATGTGCAAACAGACATGATATCCATATGACCAAAAAAAACAAAGAAAAGATAGAAGAAAAATCAAACTGTGATATTATTGGCATCCATCCTTGGGTGGTGTTTGAATCCAAAGCATATTCTTTTGAGTAATAACTTACCATCTTTGCTGTCACATGAAAGAAAAAAAAAAGAAAAGGAAAAGAGGATGCACTGTGACTGAGAGATTCACTAGTGCATTTTTCATGATCTTTCTGCTGCAGATTCAGGAGTGCATTCATAATGATCTTTCCGCTGCAAACAGTATATCATGTTTGTCCGACCTATATGTCAATCTCAAGCAGTTAATACCAAAAAAGAAAAAAGAAAAGTAAAAAAAAAAAAAAAAAAATCCATATTGAAAGTGGTTTAACTATCTGATCTGGGACAATCTAGATTTAACAGCTATTCAACTACAAAGGATTGTGGCTGGAAAATGATAGGCTCGATGAGGTTGAAAAAACTAACATTGTAAAACAGTAAATATGGTTGTAATCTCTCTCGCTCTGGGGTTCTGGGGCAGCAGAAGCAAGGTAATGATGCACCCTTAAATTGTCCATTGTTGATCCTTTGCAAGGATGATGTCTCAATTGAATAAGTTTCTCTACTTTTGTTGTCTGGAGTAAACAATCAGCAAATTTTCCGAAATTCTTGTGTTGGGTGAATATTATGTTATTATCAATGGTGAATAATGTTTTTTATTTTATTTTTTATTTATGGTCTCAGGGAATTGGCATTCTGATATCTGGATTGTTTGGAACTGCAAATGGATCATCAGTTTCTATGTAAGACACTTGCGATGAATTCCTTTCTGCTGTGAGAGCATTCTATTTGTATTCAACTTAAACATAACTCCCCTAATGACTCAAGGACTATGCTTGGTTTCCCTGCAGCGAGAATGCTGGTCTTTTAGCATTAACACGTGTTGGTAGTCGAAGAGTGGTGCAGATATCTGCTGGGTTCATGATTTTCTTTTCCATTCTTGGTAAGTTTTTTGCATATAAGCTTTGAAAGCATGGGAATAACTATATGATCTATCCCTTTCTTATGAGAATTATGGTCTTGATCGTTAATCAAATCTGCATAAATGTTCAGGGAAATTTGGAGCAGTCTTCGCTTCAATTCCAGCACCAATTGTTGCTGCTTTGTATTGCCTGCTGTTTGCTTATGTGGGTAGGTGTCTATAATGTAACTAGATCGCTACCAGATATTCTTCACCTCTGATTCATTAAATTTGTTGAAGTTGATGATAAATCTATATCATGCACATGCAGGTACAGTAGGCTTAAGTTTCCTTCAGTTCTGTAACCTCAACAGCTTCCGAACAAAATTTATATTAGGCTTCTCAATCTTTATGGGCTTGTCCATACCTCAATACTTCAATGAGTACACGGCAATTACTGGATTTGGCCCTGTTCATACCAGTGGGAGATGGGTATGCATAAAAATCCATCATTCCCCTTGATACTCTCTTTTCTTTGCTCTTTATCAATTTATTGCTAGAATTATGTTTTGGTTTGTCATGAGCTCAACTGATTGAAATTTCATGCCTTTTTCTTACTGAGCAGTTCAACGATATAGTTAATGTCCCTTTCTCATCGGAAGCATTTGTTGCGGGCTTGTTGGCATATTTCCTGGATAACACACTTCACCGGAAGGATAGTACAGCAAGGAAAGACAGGGGTAAGCATTGGTGGGACAAGTTCCGGTCCTTTAAGACAGATACAAGAAGTGAGGAATTTTATTCTCTGCCCTTCAATCTCAACAAATATTTTCCATCTGTGTGATTCTCTGTGACAGAGTTATAAGGTGCTCTCATGGAATTTTGCTTCCTTCCTTGATCATTTGTAGCTATCTGTGGGCAATGCTATTATATCGTCGTTATTTCGCTTGCTTATCATTTTATTACATGCTATATTGGTGTAAATTTGTTTCTTCATTTATAGGATGCCTTTGAACAAATTTTCTTATTTATTTCTCTTGTTGTAAATCCAATTGGTGATATGGAGTTGGAGTAGCAATGAACAAGTTTGCTGCTTTGCCTATACATTTTGTTCTCATTGCTGTACCAAATTTAATTCATGCAAAATTTGGTGTTTAATCATTAGAATGGAAGATTAGAACAATCCCATATAAAGTTATACTTGCAAAAAATGCAATAGCAGGTATGGAATGGAAATGATTCCTTGTACAGTGAAGGTCCTTACATACAACATCTGATGAAGGTAATAAAGATATAGTATTCACTTCAAAGTCAACAAAAGGACTCGGAAATATTTTTGTCCTCCATGGTTTGCCTGTGGGAATAAATGTGGCTCAGTGGTCAAAGTTGTTGGATAGATGGACCTCTCATGGACCACTCACTTGATATCTATTATGAATTGGCTTTTCAACTTTTGATCATCCTGGTCAGGAGGGAGGGAGGACCATTGTCATAAAGTACTGTAATATCACCATTATAAACCTCTGGTTGGTTGGGTCAAACTTCAATTTCAGTGACATACAGAGATTGATCTGAGAGCTTTACTAGTTATTCAAAATTCATGTTAAAAGAGCTTTACATTGTTCTACTCCTTTGTTCTCTCTATCCATCTCCAATACACAATCCTATCATCGATAAATAATGATACTGTTGAATGTGCATTACCTAGTTAGTAGAATACTCAGTTCCCGAGTAGGTTTGCCCGTGTTTGAGTCCGTTTGCCATAATAATAATAATAATAAAACTGTTGAATAATACAACTATTTACAAGGGTCTATTATTTAGAAAAAAAAGTCTTGAGGCTCTATTTGGATTAAAAGTTGCATTGTTTTTCTTAGCCTTTCACTTTGTCAGAAAAATGTACCATTTTAAGTGAACAAAATTTTGCAAACTTTAACAAAAATAATTATTCAAAAAGATAAAGAGAAGTTATGTAACTTATGGGAGGAGTTGCTATTGAATTATATCATTCAACAAGAACAACCGAAAGTATTGGCAAATATAAAATCATGAACTTACTTCTTTGGTTCCAAGTTTATATATTCTTTGAGTTTTGAGGAGACACAAGTTAGGTTTATTTCCAGCTTCACTATCTTTGGGGCAAGACATAAATGCAAGGGAACATTTTGATAGGGGGGAGGGAGAATATACATACCACTTTTGAGGACATAAACAAAAATTGCAATTATGGATCACAGAAGCTACAAAAGATTTCATTCATGTTGGTTTTCCAGAACATCTCCTCATTAGTAAATACGGGGTGGTCCATCACAACATTCTGGGCGATGATGGTTTTGCTTCATAGTAGCTTCTTTCAATTCACAATTCTACAGCTAGATCAACGAAAGAACAGATAATTACCAGTAATCGTTGCACGAACAGTTTCCTTCTTTGAATGCGTGGAAACGAGAACGGTCTCTAACAATAATTTCTCTACCAAAAACTTTGGAAATAGCCTTCAGAGCTGAATGACAATCTTCACACGTCCTTAAATTTTTCACTATCCGAATTAATGTCCCTGGAATAGTACTCGTCAGTCCAAAAGAAATAGCTAACTTTTCACTATGCCACGCCACAGCTTGCTCTTTATCTTCCTGACTTAAATCAAATGAAGCATGCATTGTATTAGCAACATACCCTTCAAGGCTTACTCTTTCCATAATTTCATTCAACTTTTCTCGTATCTCCAAAATCTGTGGATGCAACTGATCAGCAACTCGAAATTCATGAACAACGCCATTCACCTCAATCCAACTACAACCAGGGCTTGTATCATTCTTTCTCTCACCCATTACCTTCCTCAGTTGAGCAACTCTCTCCTGTCTACCCAGAGAAGCATACAAGTTAGAAAGAAGTACCTCACCTCCACCACAATCACCAGAGTACAGTTGCTCAACATGACTTAAGATCTGCTCTCCAAGATTCACATTGTGATGGATTCTACAGGCACTAAGCAGAGCTCTCCATATAACAATATCAGGGTCAATGGGCATGCTTTTAACAACTTCGTATGCCCTCTCTAAGTAACCTGCACGGCCAAGTAAATCAATATAGCATCCGTAGTGCTCAATCTTGGGTGAAACCCCCCACGAGATTTCCATTCTGTGGAAGATTAATGAACCTTCTTCTACTAAACCTGAATGGCTGCATCCATTTAGAACCGCCAGGATGCTGATCTCATTAGGCTTAATGTTCTCAGCCAACATTTGACCAAAAACACGCAGTGCATCCTTACCAAGCCCGTGAACTGATAACCCTGAAATCATGCTTGTAAAATTGAGAACATCACGTCGAGGAAGCCCATAAAAAACTCGATTTGCACAATCTATCCTCCCACATTTTGCATACATATCAATAAGAGCAGTGGAAATGTTTGAGCTCACCAAAATTCCATTCTTGTCTATATAGACATGAATCCAATTCCCTTGATCTAAGGCTCCAAGATGAGCACAAGCAGATAGAGCACAAACAAGAACAGCCTCATTGGGCTTCACATTTTCATCACATAACATTTCTTGGAAATATCTTAGGGCTTCAATGTACTTCTCACGTCCAACAAAACCTGAAATCATAACAGCCCATGATACATCATTACGCACAGGCATTGAGTCAAAGATTTCACAGGCTCTATCCATCTCCTCATGATTTGCATACCCACATACCAGACTAGTCCACGAGCATACATCTCTTTCAGACATTCCACCGAATACCTTGTGGGCATCTTCCATTCTCCCAAAAACAGAGTACATATTCATCAATGAATTGCCCACAAACAAATTAGATCCAATCCCATTTTTCAACACCAACCCATGAAAAATTTCTCCATATAATACCGATATTTGATGAGCACAAGAAGTGATCAAAAAGGTGAACGTGTACTTGTCCGGGACAACCAGCAATGGATGGTCTAACGCAACCATCTGACGGAATAGATTGATGGGTTCTTGAGAATTTTGGAGTTTGGAGTAAGCTCTGATCATGAGATTCCATAGTAGAATTGGCGGAGAAAACAAAGGATATCGATCGAATATGGTTCTTGCAGTGGTGAGGTTCTTAGCATAGAGGTAACAATGGATGAGAGAGTCAGTCAGAGAAGAATGCGATGATAATGCTCGAGTGACAACTTGTGCATGAATTTGTTCGAGATGAGAGATTGGTGGGCGTTGCTTCAGAAGGCGAGAGAGAGAGTGCGGATTAGGCTGGACAAACGGGTCTGGGTGGATTGGTTTGGAAGTGGCGGGAAAGGTAGTTGATGAATGACTAGTTCTATACTTGAAGAGCTTGAGATGAGCTATAACGAATTTGGGTCTGGACCATAGAATCACATGCATTTGAGGTTCTGGAATGAGGAAAGAAAAGGGTTTGAAAGTAAAGTAATATTGATCTGCTAATGGTGTTCGAGTTGTCTAATTTGTCCTTTATGTGTGCGTGTATACACATGCATGCTAATGAGAAGAATAAATAATCCCCTGCAAAATTGTGATTTTATGCTAACGCTATAATGTCAGTTTTACTGTTTGTTCTTAATTTTGATTCTTAAAAATATTTGGGAAACCTAGTAAAGAAGAAAAGACACAGTCTTTTATGAAATTTTAAAATTTTGTTGGGCTAGTGAGTTATAAAATGACTGGTCTTCTAAAAATTTGAATTTTTTTTTAAGGTTTTGTGAATTTTTTACGAGTTTAGTTTGGACACTTTATAATTATTTATATTTATATTTGTGAAAAGAAAATTCAATAGCAAAGTAGGAGTCTTTTTTGAATATTAATTCTTAAAAATTTTGTGGGATATGGAGGAGAAAGGACATGTCTTTTATGAATTTCCAAAATTTTGGTGGGAAATGAGTTAGAAAATAAAGGGTCTTTTTAAAATTTGAAATTTTTTCTTAGGGTGTTCGGTGAATATTTTAGGACTTCAGTAGGGGCATTTTAAAATTTGTATATGATAAATATACAAATAGTAGAAAATTTCAGTAGGGACAGGCCCTCGGAATTACAATATTCTTTTATCTCCATTTTCAATTGTCCATCTCATCACAGTTTTCACAAGTATGCTTGCTTCCAAAATGCTTGTCATTTTGTTTGGACGAACAGTAACACTAATGCAACCAAAATGATTGTTAGTGATATTGGCTGCCAATTTATTAATGCATGAAATGGCTGGGATGGGTTTGTCAACTAATGGGTGAGCAAACATTGTGATATTTCACCTCTACATTTATGTTTTGTTGGGTAAGAACAAAGAAAGAGGCGTGGAAAGAAAATAGGAAGTGAATTTTCTTTCTCTTATATAATCAAAGAAAAAAATAATAAGAAGGATGTGTCATTCTTCATTTTTTATAAATTTTTCATCTATTAAAAAATTGGAAGGAGAAAAATAAATTATTATAGAAGTTTTAAATTAAATATTATCATAAATTACACAAATTTTAAATTACAGTATTATGCTATATGAATTATAATATTACAATATTACTTGACATAATGTAAAAACAATTTCAAACTTTATTTTTCCTTCTCTCATAACGAATAGAAAAATGATAGGTCTTTCGATATCAATTGTCGACTCCTCCTCTGAGTACAATATAATTAGGAATGAGTCGAATAAAAAGAGATGTTTATGGGATTATTTTATTATATTTATTTATTTATTATTATTTTTTTAAAATTCTAATGTAATCCAATCACATCGTATTTGGAGGAGGAGTCGGTAATTGAGGTCGAAAGACTTATCATTTCTCTAACAAATATAATGAATTGTGACCTTATTCGCTTTTCTTCTATCCAAAGAAAGTCATAATCTCTTCTTTACGATGTCTCATCTATTTTTTATTCTTTTCCTTTTATTTAATTTTTTTCTTTCTTACATAATGAAGTATTATATATTTGAATATCTCTTAATTGTATTGACAAATTTTAAAAATTGTGAATACAAACAATATAAAAAAATGAACATATACATATACACATATACAAGTTGGGCAGGTCGTGACAAAAATAAAAGTAATTGTTTAAAATAAAAGTAAATTGTTTTTTAATGATCAATCACTGAATAGCAATTTTTTTCTTTTCTAAAGTTCGATCAATACAATAAAATCGAAAATTTCAATATTGGGAGACAATGCAATTATGCACACGGCATCTTTTGGAAAAGCAAAAGATTCCCAAGAAAAATAAAAGTAAAGGCATTATCAAATGAGTAATGATGACTTTTTGGGCTAAAAATTTGTCCATATTTACTTGAAAGAAGAGAGATGACACGACCCGAGTTCGCTGCGACGTTGACATATTGTTCGCTCAATTCCTGAACTGTAAAACAATAGTGTAATCATATATAAAAAGACTATTTTACCTCAAAAAATCATAATCATTATTTTAGAAGCCTCGTCTTCTCCAAAAATCATTACTTTAGAAACCTCGTCTTCCCATCTAACTACAGTTTTTCTCTCTCGCTCAAATTTATTCAATCTCTCAGTGAATTTCTCTCATCCATCTCTTTTTTTACTTTGCTCCCCCACCTCTCCACCCCCACAACCTCTTTGCTTTCATATTGTCTGTTTTCTTCACAAAAGCTACATGAATACACTGAGTACAACATTACACAGACCTAATTTCCTTCAAAAAAAACAAGATGAAGCTTAGTGATTAGGACTTATACTAGAGAGATGCGAAGTCGAAGAGAGTCAGAATCGGAGAAATATACAGTAACAAGAGAATTTGTTGGAAAAAAAAAAAAAAAATCTAGATTTCTTCTGAGTTCTTTTCTTGAAGATTTCATTACTGACGGAAAAGAAGGGTTACAATCTAATGTGCCACAACCTACAATGGATGCATGGATGCTATAACACCATTAATTAATGTTACGTCAAAATCACTTCAAGCCTTGGAACCAATTGCTTTGAACCACAATTCTAATCGTCTTTGGTGACTAAAATAAAAGTAAATTGCTTTTTGATAACCGATCACTGAAAAATTCAATGATCTTTATTCAGAGCCAATGTAATCTTTTGGACAAGTAAAAGATTCCGAAGGAAACTAAAAGTAAGGGCACTATCAAATGGGTATAAATTAATGGTAAAGACATAATATTTCTTCAAACCATGGCGTAGGCATATCATCTTTTGAAAAGTAATAAGGATCCAAATCCTCCACTTCAATATTTTCCGTGTTGCAGTCTACCGTAGATGTGCTCAACATGGTAATACAATTAGCTTGAAGAATTCGTATTCTTTCTTCAGACTGTAACATACAAACTTGCTGAAAACGTACTGTCCGGAAAGAACAAAAAATGGCAGAGATACTTCTATCTCCGCTTTTGCAGGTGATGTTCGACAGAATAGCAGCTGCTGCCACGGTATTTTTTGGTGAACTCCATGATCTCAAGATGAATGTCCAAAAGCTACAGGTGACAATACCAAGGATTCAAGCAGCTCTTGAAGACGCATATGACAAACATATAATTGACAAGGCTACGGCACTTTGGTTGTCAACAGTTAAAGATGCAGTATATCGCGGTGAAGAATTGTTGGACGACCTCACTATATCAGAGTCACGCCCTTCAATGGTGCCGCTGCGGACCAAGGCTGCAGCAGAAACTGCACACGAGTTGAATAATTTGGTGCTGGAAATAGAGAAGATAGCCAATTCTGTATATGAGTTCCGGTTAAAGGAGAGCCGTGTGTATTGGCAACCAAAGGGTGCATGTGAAAGACAACAAAGTACTGGATCAATTGTTATCGAATCAGAAGTTCGTGGAAGACAGGAGGATAAAGAGAAGATTGTAGACTTATTGATTGACGATGCATGGAAAGGAGCAGCAGCTACGACTAATTATTCGGATGTCTTGGTTATACCAATAGTCGGGATCGGTGGGTTAGGCAAGTCCACGCTAGCTCAACTAGTATACAACGATAACAAAGCAAGTGAGCACTTTGAGTTGAAAATGTGGGTTTGTGTGTCTCAAGATTTTAATGTGAGAAAAATAGTAAAAGAAGCTATTGAGTCTGGAACCAAGAGTAAGTGCGAGATCTCAGGCATGGATGCTCTCCAGTCTCATATGGTGGATATATTAAGCAGGAAGAGGCATCTGATGGTGCTAGACGATGTCTGGAATGAAGATGCTGATGAGTGGGAGACGTTAAGAACTTTGTTGGGAAGGGGTGTGAAGGGTAGCACAGTCATAGTCACCACCCGCAGTGAAAAGGTGGCTTCAATTATGGCCACAACTACTACTTCCATATACCGTTTGAAGGTGCTGGCTGAAGATGACTGCTGGGCTATTTTCAAACAACGGGCTTTTCGTCCTGAAGAAGAAGAAGACCATTCAAACCTGTTTCCAATTGGAAAGGAAATTGTCAAGAAATGTGGAGGTGTTCCTTTAGCTGCTAAGACATTTGGAAGCCTAATGCGCTTCAAGAGAAAGGAAAGGGAGTGGTTGTATGTGCAAAATAGTGAACTTTGGAATATCCAGGATTGCCAGACGGGGATTCTACCTGCACTAAGATTTAGTTACAGTCATCTGCCATCGCATCTGAAAAGATGCTTTGCTTTCTGTTCAATATTCCCCAGAAGTTACCAGATCAACAAGGAAAAGTTAATACACATTTGGATGGCAGAAGACTTAATTGCATCATACAGTATGATACCAAGACCAGAGGACATTGGTGATGAGTACTTCAATGATTTGTTGTGGATGTCTTTCTTTTAAGTTGTCAAGAAAACCGAAGATGGCAGCATAACAGAGTTCAAGATGCATGATCTCATCCATGACCTTGCACGATCTATTGGAGGATATGAATTCATGGTTCTTGAGCGTGGTCATCTACAAAGTGAGTCAACCCTAACTCGGCATGTATCTGTTTCTTTTCATATCAATTCGTTTCCAAATGCATTATATGAAGCAAAACATTTGTGAACTCTGCTTTTATTCTCTGGGGGAGATCTCAGGGATGATGCCCAATTTTCAAGATTTAAGTACCTGCGCGTGTTGGATCTGAATGATTGTGGCATTACGGTACTGCACGAATCAATTGGTGACTTAGTGTTGTTGAAGTACCTCGACCTCTCATACAATCAAATCAATGACTTACCCATAACGTTCTGCGAACTCAAACGTTTGCAGACGCTCAACTTATCTGGTTGCTACAATCTCATGCAGTTGCCCAATTCTATGGCAAACATGACAAGGCTAAGACATCTCAATATAACTGGATGTCTACAACTGGCACGGATGCCATCTTATATTGACAAATTACATGAGCTCCAGACCTTGTCAATATATGTTGTAGAAGAGACACCTGGAAGAAGCATCTCTCAACTGGAACGTCTGGACCTTCATGGTGAGTTGAAAATTAAATACTTAAGTAGACTGTATGATCCAGGTCAAGCACGGCTTGCAAGATTCTGGGACAAGGTAAACCTAGAATTGTTGGGCCTTTATTGGAGAGAGATTGATGACGAGAGTGTGACAGAATCAGATGTCGCTAGTCTCCTGAAAAAAGAACGCCCTTCCTCGTCAAATTCATCAGAACAACACGAGCAAGATGCTGCAGTAGCAGAAGTTATTTCAGCCCTCCAACCTCACTACAATCTAAAACGGTTTCTTCTGAGGGACTATCCAGGAACCAAGTTTCCAGCTTGGATAGGGGATCTTCATAGTTTGGTTGTGGTTGATCTGAGGCAGTGTAACAGATGTCAGCTTCTTCCTACCCTTGGGAAACTTTCATCACTTAGGATTCTCACTCTTCGTGGGATGAATGGTGTGAGGCGAATAGGCAAAGAGTTTTATGATGAAGATGAAGAATGGTCAAGCACATTTTTCCAATCACTCAAAGAACTAGCCTTGATAGATTTTCCTAGTTTGGAAGAATGGTCAAGTCCAGATGGCCAAGATGCATTCCCCATGATGTCCAAATTAATTATCAACCGATGTCCAAACCTGCAGGCCATGCCATTCTTTGAGTCTCTTCAACATTTGGAGTTGCGAGAATGCAGTGCAGCAATATTAAATTCCTTTGAAATTTCAACCTCCATTTCAGTTTTCATAATTGAAAAAGTCTCTGGATTATTGTCTCTCTCAGGAGAACTTCTTGCACACAGATCTAATCTCACATCTCTTGAAATTATCTCTTGCCGTGAGCTTCAATCACTACCTTCAGAGTTGGGGAACCTTACTGCTCTGAAATCACTAACCATTCGCTGGTGTGAAAACCTCTCTTCTTTACCACAAGATTTGAAAAACCTCACAGCTTTGGAGTCCCTGGAAATTGGTGATTGCTACAGTCTAACAGCTCTCTCAAAAGACCAGATTCGAGGTTTGAGTTCCCTTCGAATTTTGTCCATTGAGAACTGCACCAATCTGTCATCTCTACCAAAGAGTTTGCATTATCTTGCATCCCTTGAGCACTTAACTCTCATGTTTTGTCCAAGTCTAGATTCATTGCCAGAGGATCTGCAGCACCTCCCCGCCCTTCATAGTTTGACCATCATATCGTGTCCCAAGTTTTCACGTCTGCCACAGGGGCTACAACATGTCAAAATGCTGCATAGACTGGAGATACGGAGCTGTCCTGGTTTGATAGCATTGCCTGAACATGTTGAGAACCTCACCTCACTTAGATCTTTGGCAATTTCAGACTGTCCTAATCTGAAATGCTTGCCTGATGGTTTGAATCTTCTCACTGCACTCCAGCACCTGTCCATTCAACATTGTCCCGAGCTTGAAGAACAATTTGCACAAAAGGGAGGTGAGGATTGGCCAAAAATAGCTGGCATTCCTCATAAACACATCGGATCACCTATAAGCAGACAGTCCAGTGGAGATAGCAGTTCTAATACTTGCTTTGGGTGAGCAACTTTCTATCTAGCTGCAAGTTCTTATTATATATGTTTGTTCTGCGAGAAGATTAGCTATGTTAGTATTGTTATTTCCATTGGTTAATTGTTTCAATTAATTAATCAAACTAGCTTGAAGTCTTCTTGCAGACCATCAATGATTAAATGCTTTTCTAACAAGTACTGGTGGTAGGCTAACTTTGTGACACTATTCAAATAAGTAGATCAAAGCACTAATGAAAATTGATGCACTTAAAATAGAACTTTTAGAATCTCAAATAAAATGATATCTTTATTTCGGTTGCAGGCAAGTAATTGCCGCTAAAGGTTTGTATGAATCAAGAAAAGAAACAATAAATCTGCAGCATACACATATATACTTTAATGGTAATTTAATTACTCCAATCATATCTCTTGTTCAAGATATACAAAAACCTTAAACAACAGTGGTTGTCTACAAACCACCGACAATCATATGATTGCCTACAAACTTTTTGATAAGAAACCATCGTTTTTAGTAGGAAAAGAAGAAGTAAAAAGAAAACTCAGGTGAAGTTGCTGTACTTGTCATCTTTGCTGAAGCCACTTGGTTGAATTTGATCAACTATAAAGCCAGTTAAAAGTGAAACCAATTTGGTTTGCTTTAAAATGTTAGGATTCAAATCAACAGAGGTGGATAAAAAATTTATATTCATTATTGTAAAATTAGTTCTTTCTTTGTATACAATTTCACAGCTGTTGAGGTGGAATGGTGTTCACACTTTTTCAAAAGCCAATCAGGTTTTCATATTTGTCTTAGTGCCTATATGTTTCCATTCATCTTCAGGTGCTAGTTAATTCGATGTCCATCCGTATGTAGCTCAAAAACTTCTAGCTTGGCACGTTTTCTTCTTATTAGGCATATGCTTATTGGTTGCTCTTCTTGCAGGTTGCAGTTTAAAAAGTTCTTGAAGATGTTAAAGAAGTAAGACGTAGTGTGATGCTATACATATCTTTCGAGTTTCTCTCTCACAGGTGTGAACTATATTCTGTCATAATCCTTTAATGTGATTATTATATCTAAAGTGGGTTTCTAAAATAGAGTTTTATGCAACTGTTGGCATACAACAGATATGCTATTGGATCATCTTTTGTTGTGTTAAAGAGTTATGTTCATTGTTAGTAACTGCAACTGTTGTTTGTGTGTTGAAATGCTTCTTAAGCAACTGAGGATGATTAATAAATTATGTATTATAAATTATGATATGAGCAATGTGCTATAGCCTTTAGTGAGTTCATTCAATAAGAATTAGACTTAATAAGTCAATAATTAAAGAAACAATATTGAAAATTTAACAAGTAATGAGCAATCGTGAGATGACCATTAAATTATTGACTTGCTTCATTGACTAAAATGATGATCATGGTAGGAATTTTAAGTTGACTGACTGCTCATTACCTAATATCATTTGAATTTCCTGCCTTAAAAAAAAAAAATCATTTTAGTTTATGTACATTTATATATAGTCTTGTAAGATTGGTTGTTACCTGTTACTTGCTATCCTTGAGTTCACTCTATCTTTGCATTGCAGGAAACTAGTTATCAGAGAAATGGGAATGAAGTTCGGATTATTTCAAAGAGAAGTTGAATCCTTTATTTATATGCATATCGAGTGAACTTTGTGGTGAGATTATGATGTAATGATGACAAATATTATTTGACCAATTTGATGAACTTATTGTGCGTTTATTTGATGAACTTATTGTGTATTTATGAGAATTTAAGACTTGTAATTTGAGAATCATTTGGGTCGATAATTTGAATATTTTGTTATTACTCTGTTATCTAATCTCGCATTCATGTATTTTTTTTTTTTCTTCACACAGTCTCATTGGAACATGTTTCTCAGTTCACATGAGAGTATTGATATTTAAATTATTGTCTTATATGTTTTCAGGCCTATATAAGTGCTTAAACACACTTGTATATATATATATTTTTCTTTCTTATTTAGAATATGGTAATGGGCTACTATTCTAGGTGGCCGCAGTCAATGGCACTTAGCAGTTCTATTCATCAGTAATGCTGTAGAAGAGTATCACATAGTAGCACAATAAATAGGAAAATTGAGTGCACAGATTTTGCATAATATTAGTCTACATAACCATATTCAGATTTAAATTATCCAACAATGAGTATTATAAATTCAGCTATATAGGTTTAAAATGAGGATGAGAAGTATTTAACATATTCAAAGGACTGAAAGTCATAAATTACCTTTTGGTGTATGTTTCCCTGATGCCGGGTATGTTGAAGAGAAACTAGCAGAGAACATGAATCAGAATTTGGGGTTTGATCCAGAGACGATGCTATGCAGTTAAGTTCGTTGAAAGCTAGAATATTATGAGTCTCTTCGATTGTTGCAAGGCAAAATGCGTGAACGATTAAAACTGTTCACGTGTTGGTATTGCTTCGCAATAAATGAAACCGGAACAGGTCGTATATTTGGGGCATGAGTTTCGCCAAAGGGAATCAGATGCAGAGTTAACCCACTAGGACAAAGATGGGCTTGGGTTGCCGTGCATGATTTTTAAATAAAAAAAATTAATTAATTTTGAACAGAATTTGAGATTAAAATTCATTAGAAAAATCTAAGTATTTGTTTAATCTAAGACTAAATAAATACGGAGTATTTAAATACCATAATCACGAAATTTAAATTTTAACATGAAGAGAATAAAGAGAAAAAGTCCATCTAATGGTGGATTTTTTTAATTCATTTCTATTATGAATTAGATTTAATTTGAATGTTATTCCACCACTAGTAAATTTTATAATAGTACATTCTTAAATTCGATTTGGTTGAAAAGAAAGAAAATAGATATATATGTAAATATACATATATATATTTTTAATTTAAAATTTTGAATAAAAAGAAAGAAAATATTTGGATTTGGAGGGAAAGAATTATTAGTTGATGAGTTAGTTTTGTTATCTAAAAATGAAAGAAGATAAAAATAAATAATAAATAATAAATTGGGTTAGGATTTTTAATGAAAATTTATTTAATATCAAATTTATTATTATTTTTATTAAAACAAAATATATGAAAAAAAAAAGTATGTTAATAAAAAATTAAAAAAAAAAATGAAAAAATCTTATTGGCATAAGCTATGGGTGTTTGGGATTACTTCTCTGTTACTGAAAAACACTTCCATTCTAAAAAATAGTGGTGCAATTTGTTTGGTGGAAAAAAAAAAAAAAAAATTCTCTTATAGATGGTAAAAGTTAGGTCTAAAAAGCGCATTTAAGTGAAGTTATGAATCGTAACTTTTAAAATTGCATTACTGGTAGAGGTTCATGTTTTTAGGTAACTAATTTTTTTTAGACAATTTAATCCCTTTATATTTTTTATAAATACCATTTTATCCCTTTTACAAACAAAAAACAAACAATATTTGGACTCTGTAACAAATGAGGATCCTATTTTAGTTTGGGCCTCTCTAGCCGTCTTCCAATCTCAGTTTATTTTGGAACTCTGAATTATATAATTGTTAGGTGTTTAATTTTTAATAAATTGTGGCTTGTAATTTGTTTTTAAAATAACTATAATACATTTATGCTATTATCTTAAATAACAAGTAATAAGATTATTAATTGTGGTTAAATTGTTTAATTTTATTTTATGAAATGTTGTCTATATTACAAAATATTATATTATTAAATTTTATTATTAGATAGTATATGAGCAAATTTGCTTATTTTATTATTGGAATATGTGATACCCCCTAATTTTGGAACACGGATTGATCAAGTCCGCGCACAAAATCAAGGGATATCAAAACAATTTAAGTATTTAACAAGCACAGAATACAAAGATGAATAATAAAGAATAAATAAACCGCTGAAGAAAACTAATAAATAAATATTACTTAATGATTCTCCAACAATTACAATTCGGAAATCCCATAACTCAAGGACCCCTTGAAACATTATCCAATAATCCAATACTATTTAAAAGTACACAAGATGAATAGACGAATGACAGTCTCCCAGCTGCGGATCCTCAACCTCGAGACTGGAACCTCTAATAACCTGAAAAATAAATCGTGGGTTAAACCCTACGAGCAAGTTCACTCTACCAGGCCTCTGAAAACCAATAAGCAGATCATCTCTGATCAAAACCAAACCTAATAAAGTTTTAACTTTAATAAAGCACGATATACATGTCTATATATAATTATATATACTATACTAATCACATCCATTAATAGGTTTATTAAATTTCCATACCTATTAAATAATTATTAAAATAATATTCATACCTAGACCAATCTACCATTTCATTTTATAAAAACTCCTTTGACCTTAATCCCATCCTAGTCAGTTGTTTAATCATTTAAACAACAAATTATAATAAAAGAAATACTCTATTTAATCCCAACCCGATAATGATTTTAATTGTTTAAATCACATATCCAAAATCCAAGTTTTGACAAATCATCCACGTCTTCCCCAATATTATTTTATTAATGTAAAATAATACACTAACCAGTAAGTACTAAACTATTCTCATTTAAGAATATCTAACCCTAATCCAATCCATACATACAACAACCATAGATGATATTTTAATCATCTAACACATAACAACGTAATTATGCTTTGGCAAATCAACCATGCCATTGTAAATATTTTTATTTATATATTGGCAATTCAACCATGCCTCCATAAGTATATTTATTTATACATTGGCAATTCAACCATGCCTCCGTGTATGTATATTTATACATTGGCAATTCAACCATGCCTCCACAGGTATATTTATTCATACATTTAATTAGCAATTCATCCATGCTTTCCATATATGTATTCTATTCATACAAATATTTAGGTAATATATTTAATCACTTGACAATTCATCCATGCCCACACTTTAACCATGAATTAACTTTAAAATTAACAATACGCTAAATCATACATATCCATCACATGCATATTATACGCATATCATTAATTTAACAACCAGCCTATTAAGATATGCCAAATAAGAATGATAATATTAATTATCTTAAATGATTTATATATATATATACCTACACATATGTTATTTAATGTATATATGTGTTTAACACCTTCTTTAATAATCCTTGATTATTTAAAATCAATATACATACATACATACATATATATATATATATATATATATATATATATATATATACACTTCCTTCCATAACAAATTATTAATTTATTATATTTACACAAATTAGTCCAACTAAATATGTCAGAAATAGTTTCCTTTAAATACTCCATATTGGTTTAAAAAGTTTTCCGACACTTTCTCACTAAAACATAAATATCTCCTAGTAGGATGGGAATCTGATAATGAAATTGGTACCATTGGAAAGAAGACGAAAAATCCTTGAATTTGAGCTCAAGAATGACCCAATTTCGATTTAAAATGACTAAGTTATGACCGTTTTAATTTCTAGTGTCGAATTAGGCCAACATAGTTTCACACGCGCGCCCACGTGCTTACTATGCACTTGCACGCGCTGGATTCAAGCCTCCTTGTGTGCTGGTATTGGCTAAGCTCTTTCAGTTACCGTGAGCTCACCACACTGAATCCATCACTTCCTTTATGCCGCATCCAATGGTCATAAATGAGTGCGCAAATGAACACGCTCACACTAGATTATTTTCTATTAACTATAATATATCTAAGGTCCAGATCAGCGAGTGCACCATCTTCTCATGGTCTGCAATACACCAAATAATCCCATAGTGACCAGACCACTTCTATGGTCCAGATACACATGCGCACCAAAGTTTTATGCGCCGCGATGCACCATATCAATTCACATAAGTTTAATTAATCTAATGGCACCGCGCCGCACTGGATCAATTCTTTATTGTGCCGCCGCTCCACATGCGCCAGTTACCTAGTATATATATATATAAAATTATTTTCCTAACAAATAATAGGAAAATAAATCCTAATAAATTCCTAAAAATATCAGAAAAAAAACCAGAAAATTACAGAACAATTCTAGAAAATAAAGAAACCATAATTAACTCTCTTGGGTCACAAATCCACCTATAGATTGATTTTAAAATATACATAACACCTATATATATCAATTAAAATCCAATAATCTAAAAATCAAATATAATAGTTTATACTTTTTAATTATTCCGATCTAACCATAATTTTTAAACAAATAAATTTAATTAAAGCCTTGATACTCAAGGTGAAATCCTTATGAGTTCTAAGAGGAAAGTTAGAGAAAACTCGCCTGAAGGTTTCGAAACGAAACCGACGCTTTAAGCTTTAATTATCTCTTCCAATTCCGACGTCCTCCTTTTCAGATCCGACCTCCTCCTTGTCAGCCCTTCTTCTTCCTCTCTCTCTGTCTGTTTTATTTTTCTAACGTGTAAAACCTTTAACCCTAAAGCCTTATGTGTATTTTTATACACCTTAAATTCCAAATCCTATTCCAACTAGTATTATGAATTAAAATAATAATCTTTAAATAATTTATATCTATAAACATATATATATATAAATATATATTCCTTCCATAATTAACTCATTAGTTAATTAAATCATATATACTTATAAATATCAATAAATATATATCTATATATATATCTTTCCATAACAATTATTAATGAATTATATTTATATATAATTATATATATATATAAATATAATTGATACAAAAGTGATCATTTAAATAATTAAATAACCACGGACCTTCATTAATTAACCCAATAAGGTTTCATACAAGCCCAAGACCACATCTTTTGGTCCAACTTTCCTTAAGCCCAATCCAATTAATTTAAATAAATAAGATAATTAAGTAAATACAGAAATTAAAATAACTAATTACATGAAGCACATAAACAAACAAGAATTTACAACTAAGTCATATAATACCAATAAAATCAACACACCAATAATTCAATCAATAATCAACCACACAAACAATCAATCATCATACATAATCACGAAATATAACTTAATTAAAATAAGATAATTAAT